CCAAGGGAGAAGAAATCATAGCAGAGAGGTTGAAACAGGAGGATGCCACAGTCAGATATAAGTATCAACTGAACAACAGGCATAGGCGTAAATCTTTTCTTTTGGTAGAAATCATTTTCTCCATGTGGGGAAAGAGTGATTATTGTGATACCTGCAGGTCTGTGGACTCACTAAGGGCGATGTGCTGTGCTTGAAAAAATGCATCAGATTATCGTATATCCCAGTTCTTCACTGAAGAGTTCTAATCCCTTGTCCTCTTCTCCCTGTGGTACCTTCCTTCCTGTAGGCTGAGACTCCTGCCTGTATTATCACAACAGTAGTAAATTGATAAGGTCACCAGGTTAAAGCCCAAGGCTTGAGCTGGTGCTTAACATAGAGTGTCGATTTATGCAGTTATTTTTTCTCTTTTCTGCTTACTTAATTAGTATTTAAATATTCCAAGTGAAGTGGAATAGGTCAAACAGGAGCCAGCAATGACCTGAATCCAGAATACTCTATAGCCTATTTATTGGAGAACTCACCTGGGGAGCAGAAGAGACAAGTCAAAATCTACCCGCCCTCTCATTTAGAGCAGACTGCACTGAGCTTTCTCACATCCCAACTGCATTGCCCTAGCAACAATATTATTGTTTAAAAGGGAATCAACCCCTTTTCTTAGTGCTGTGACTAGCCTTCTGCTTTTAATATGCCTAGCCTTAAAAAGTCATTGCGCATTAAATAATTTAGTTAATTTTTTGTACTATTGGTGAACTAAGACTGTTATACATAAAAGAGCTATGAAATAACAAAAATAGAGAAAATCACTTTTACATCTGAATGAGTCTGAACTGAGTAGGTTTTTTGTTTGGTTTTTTTTGAATGTTCTGTTTTGTTTTGTTTTTCTACTGGAGTAGCGGAAGGTATAGGTAAACCTGAATTGTAAAAAGGTGCTGAACTGCAAAATCAAACACTCATCCTTAACCATGGACTCCTATGCTTATTATGCCTCAAGGAAAGTTCAACTCACAAATACAAAGGGTATTTTATAGAAGCTGCCAGAACTACAAGCTCACTCTGGACTCTGAGAGTCACACAGTGTTCTCCTCAAAGTTGTCACCAATTGTCAAGGTTTATTTATACTTACGAGACCTTATGGGTCTTCAGATTGTATTCTAAGTGACAACTCTGAAACCAGAGGAATAGTAAGAATCTCAGAGTTTTAGCTGTTTGGAATTTAGCAAATCAATCTGTTGATGTAAAGGTGACATTTGTGACCTGATGGGGTAGTTCTGTGTGCATGAGAAATTGTGATGTGCAGTCAGAGGGATATATCCCTGGAGTAATCTTTTTATAGAAATGTATATATAACTTCTTAAAGTTCCCATCCTCATTGAAAATCAATAGCAATCACAACCCAGAGTGCCAGGAGGCTCTGGCAGACATGTGGTGGTGGATTAAAATCGGATGGCTGAAATTGTAACAGCCTTCAGCTGCACCTTCCACTCCTATGATGGATGTTGCTCCCCTAAAGCAGGGACAACTGATCTGCTCATGAATCACCCGATCGACTGCAGTGTTCATCTAAAGTAAACTGACTTGGATTCTGGTCGGCTTTAATACAGACACTGAAATTTGTCTTGGGAGAGAAAAAGTTTACTATATGGGCAGCAAAGATGCCTGGAGAAGTTCAGGTATCTGATTTTAACCTGTTGCTGAATGACCTCTGTTAATTGTAAAAGTAGAACTCAATAGGCTCCATCAGGTGATTTCAAAGCAACAAAAATACCTGTTTTTCTCATTCCCCCACTGTGCACACGATGACCCAATGACCTCTTGGGCAGGAGCTCTGTCTAACTTTGGCACTTTTCTGAGAAAAAGGAGAATCACTGATGGCTGAACTGATGGAAACATTGCCCATATCTATGTCCCCTTTTCTCTACTTGTCTAGCTGTGTAAATATCATCACTGCAGGTTTTGGGAGGAAGCTGGCAGTGATAGGAGATGGACTAAAACGCACAGAGCACCTAGGCAATGCAAAGCAAGAAACAGGTAGAAAAAAGTATGAGGCTAGCACCAAGGTACTACAGTAACAAAATGATTGAAGGGAGAGGGTAATCATCTTGGTGTAATTGTCTCTTCTTTTGGAAGTCATGAAATGATGATGGTATCAATATACAATCCATCCTACATGAGATTATGCAGTAGCAAAAAACATATTTCTCAGGAGTCATCAGATAAAGTCCTTGGACAATATTCCTTATATTGATATCTAGAGACATTAAAATTTGATTTCTATTTTCAGTGCTTTAGGACACCCTGTCTGTTTTGGTTTTTGTGGGTTTTTTTAGGCAGTTCAGGAGAGATCTTTACTCTGTAGATGTTACCTGCCAGTCCTGTGAGGAAGTCTGTGATATCCTAAAGCATCTATAACAACACCAGAGGTCTTAGGCACCTGAACCATACTGCAAGAACCTGCGTTGGGAACCTCTAGCAGTATAACAGCATTTTTCTTGAGCTCCAGTCAAATTTGAGTCAATAGCTGTTCACTCACACTTCAATGACTGCAACAGTGGTGATTTTATTGTTTAACATCCTGAGTTTTCATGGGGAAATCTGACTTGACTGCATCAGCAGCCAAAAGCGTGCCATAGTTAACCTTCTAGCATGCTTGAGTTTTGCCTCTGCAGCATTACTCCGATTGATAATTTGTCAGTAACTATTTTCTTCACCAAAGAAGACACGTAGCAGTTTTAATTTGAAAAGTTAAGTATACTAAATAGGAAGGAACTATTTTTTCATAGAAATGTAGATGAATGATCCTTTGACTGGTAATTATAAGTCTGTATCTGTATACACACACAGAGTTTTAATTGCTTGTATTATAACTGTGCAAATATCTGTCATTAGGATGTCCTTGAAGATATGCTGTGGTACTAATCAGATTTGTCAAGATAACACAGTACATTTCTATTCTCTTTTACACATCATAAACTCTGACTGATATCCCCAAGGGGGAAAAATGCATAATGTGTCATTTATGACCTGTTGCTTGCACAAATTGCCTGCATTTTGTATGCAGTAGGATAACAAAATGCTATTGATTTTGAATTTGACTTAGGAAGTTGATCTTTATTGCTAGTTGTCACTTGGCAGATTTTTCTTCCCACTGTGAAATGTTTAATCTAAAATTAATGTTTTGGAGAAATAGAAGCAGTGATGGTTTTAAAATATTTTTTAAAAATCTACATTCTATCCTAGGAGATAGACATTATTCATAACAGAATAAACATTCAATAAATAAGATTAATTTCAAATAAGTTACAAAAAGCATGTAATATACCAATCTTGTTCTGCTTACACAACACTGCTGTGTAGCAGAGCAGTTTTTTGGGGCTTAAAACAAGGCATGGATCAGTATCAGCATGCTTGTGCAGAGGCAAGCTTAAAACATAGAGCTAGGGAAATGCACATTAATACAAGGCACTACATAGTAATAATAAAAAGAAAAGAAATCTAGAATAGATTGGGGTATGAATTTGAAAACTTTAAAAATATGACAGATTAAGAGTTAGGGAACCTCTGACACCAAAATTGTCCTTTCTGGTTCTATAGTTTTATGTGAGACACATAAAGGTCATTTCAATATCACTGTGGAATATCGTTTTCAGTTTCTACAGAGAAAGGAACAAAACCAGTAATAATTAACGTAAGGATTGGAAGACTTTTGGGGTTTTTTTAGGGAAAAGTATATGAACCTATTGGTAATATTAAATGTCTTACCCTCTCTTCATGTTTTTCTTTAAGGATATTAGTGTTGTGATTCTCAAAGACAGCTACATACGTGTTGTGACAGCAAATGTCTGCAAGCCTTCAACAGCCTATACCTTAGCTCCAGAAATTGTTTCTAAATGCATATTTGTCATTTTCTATGTCAAATGTGAAATTTTAGATATCTGTGTGAGCAAAGGTCCCTGAAATAATTGAAATTAATTTATGAAAGTTGATTTCATCTACCAGGTCAAGAATATATGTAACATATAATTGAATATTTTAAAAGTAGATGTTGTAAACTAAACTAAGTGGAGTTACTGTGTTTTTCTACTAGTTTCAACTGCAGTGTTATGACTATTTTTACTATTGATATTGCATACAATGAAAAACAAATGCCAAACTAAGATTGTTTAGTTTATCACAGTCCTTTATGAAGAAGATTAATTTGAGAACTTTCAAATGTGGTCAGGTTTCAGTTACCATAGTTTTGGTTTGTGTCCGGAATTAACATTTTTAATACTCCAGGAAGAAGTGGATTAACTTTTGGTTATGTCCATTCAACAGTTAATGTGTGTCAATTGCTCACTTAGCTAAATAGTACTCACCTTCATACCAGATTTGTAGTACCAAACCTATACTTTCTGGAATTAAGTCTGCTTTGGCACTGTAACTTTGTTTCTTAGGAGATTATTTCATTAAGTGAAAAATGTCACAAACAAAGATATTAAAAAATCAGCTACAAGGTTCTTCACAACTTGTAAGGATACTGCACATGTAAATAATTTGTGAGATGAAATAGACTATATACATATTTCTATTGCCACTGATACGTGTCCTTGACAGAAGAATTCCAGCCAATACTTAAGTGGCAGACGCATTAGCTCCATCACAGTCAGTGGAAGTACACTTAATCACATCACCTTAGAATCTGACCTGCAGCCCATAATAAGACTTTCCTTTGTAGGGTAATACTATTTTATGCTTTCATCAATCACTCTTCTAGGTCTGTAACTGTTTGCAGTAGATTAAAAAATGTCATATTATAATCCAAAAGGCTGTTTCACCATGTTGCTCCCAAATTACCTTTACTAAAAGCAGGCACAGTTGAGGAAAACCTTCTTCCAGAAAGTGCAAGAACCTTCTTTTAATAATGCAATATTTATATTTATTTTAAACATTCTGATTATAAAGCAATTACAAAACAATAGTCATATTCTTGATTTTTATGCTCCAAGTTGTTTTGACTTTTATCTGCTTTGACTGTTTGCATAGGACATATGTCTACAACTACGACAATAATAGATGGTAAGAACGGATCTGTTCCTTCATCATCCATGAAAGTGGGCAAGAAGTCAGTTACAGAAGACCTCGTGACAACGTTCAGCTCACCAGCAGCATGGCTTCTTGTTGTTGCTCTGATTGTTACCTGGTCAGCAGTAGCTATTGTAATGTTTGACTTGGTGGATTACAAAGACCTTGCAGGTAAAACTCAACATGTTCTGTTTGACACCTTGTATATTAAAAATTGAAAATTTATTAAGGAGTGTGTATTACATAATTATGCATGTGTCTCACTTTGGGGACAGCGTAGTGTCTCTGTTGAGTTTATCAAGGGAGAAGATATTGTAAGAAATGTCAGAATGTATTAGTTTACACTTCATACATCTTTATAATTTAAGTCTCTTCATTTTGTAGCCCATTCTCATCCTCAAAACCATGCACATCGACAGTAATGTAATATGTATACGAACTTGTATAGTCAGATTTCCATTTTGCAATTTCTATATAAATTTTCCAGGAAAAATAAGGTTAATTGATTAGTATTTTCTGAAATATAAAGCCTTAAACAGTTGCCTTAAATATTCTGACATCTGCTTACACAGTTCAATGACTAGAAAAATGCAGATAATTTCTAAACATGCTAACCCTAAAACCGATCTTTATAAGCACAGAGGACCAGATTCCTAATATTAGCTAGATCACATCCTTGTCTTCAGTAGGACAATAACTCTAGCCTAGTTTAAGACTTGGTAAGCTGACTGAACAAGATCAAGTTTAAGGGTACATATTGATTAATGAGGGCAAAGATGAAAATTAAGTGGGTGGTACAAGGACTGGGATTCTAGTTGAGGAACCAGAAAAAAGGAACAGGGAATAGAATGGAATAGAAGTTTTATGCCTTTTGTCTGGCAATGATATATAATGAAAAATAACTCCCTATCTTTGCAAAGGGTGCATAATGTTCAGCAAGGCATTATGGTAGTAAAACTTACTTGAGATAAACAGTCTGTAACAACTGGGAAATACGTATGTGATGCAGAAAACAAGTTATTATGGTTCTTTTCTTTCTTAAAGTAGATCTCCAGCTCTAAGGTTTTCACATCTGCCACAAAACTAGGAATTGAAATTCAGACTTCAGCCTTTTAATTTAAAAAAAAAGGAGTTGATGTTTTGGAGTAAATTTCCTGGACTTTATTAGTTTATTGATAAATTCATAGATTTTTTTTTTTTGTCCTGCTATATATCAATTTTGACTTTAAGATTTACTTAAAAACCTTTTGAGACACAGATAGATCTTGAAAGAAACCAACCAGTCCTGGATCAATGGATGTCACAGAGCTTGAAATGTGGAGAAAATGTACCACAAAACTTTCTTAATTATTTTCTCTGTTCTTTGTTTTAGAAGGACATCACTTGAGTTCCAGCAAAATATAAAGTTATTTTTTAGAGAGCTTCCCAATACAGACATCAGATTTTAATTTGGACGCCACACTCTGGATACCACAGTGTATATAGAAACCAAGAAAAATAAATTATCATATTCTGTTTTAATTTTCCATATTACCCATTAATCAATCAATTAATCAATTAGTCAAGTTCTTAATATGTTTCATATGAACAGTCAAGAAGGAGGGCATAACTAAGACTACACTCTTGTACTAAGCAAGTCGTGAACTGGCTGTCAGGTCACACATGTTCGATATATAAATCAGGGTAATACAAGACTGGTAATCCTAAATAACAAGAATTTGTGCTGGAGACTGAAGGAAGCATCCAAGCAGATGTAATTCTGCTTGTATTGGCTAAAGGAGTTTAAATGTCACCAGTGTTGATGGAAACTGACATTTTCAGACCAGGATTTAGAAATAAAATAATATTGTATTTAATCTGCAGGGTGAGTTTGTATTTTGTGGAGGTCTCTGAAAGATGATACTTTAGTACTTTGAGTTCATGAGTTAATTTCCAATGATATTAATTAAGCAATTAATTAAGCCAGCATTTAAATCAGGTCTCATGGTCAAGAGTTAAGAGAAGAAACTGCCGTACTTCTTAAGCCAGGATTTATTAGATTGTTTTCTGTATTTACAGAAGTACAACAATAGCTACATAGCTCTTACGATAACCCTTGGGTTTCACTTCTGGAGTCAGCCACACTTGGCTGTCATTATTGATACTAGAATGATTTTCACTTTTGGACAGTTTGACCCTTTACCTCCAGTGGAAGTAGTGCCTTCTTTTCACAGAAAGTAGAATTTGGAGCATATTTTTAAGTGACTTCTTAAATCTAAAACCCAGTGATATTTTCTCTTGAGTTTGACACTGTTCTTTGAAGAACCAGACCTGCATAAAAAGTACGAATAGTTATTTTCAGGACTGTAAATATAGTTTTGCAAGCATGATTAAAATTAATTTCCTAGTTTTTGAATGCAAATGAAAGATACTAAAGAAAATATATTCAAATGCATACTTTTTTAAACCATAAAACACAGAAAATTCAGTATGTTTTTCCTCGAAGAACACTTGCCTTTCATAAGTCAGTGCATTCAATTTCTTTCCCATTTCTCTACCTGAAATTCCATGAAGTTCAAGTTTAGAAAGTACGCATAGCATATGAATGAGGCAAGCTGAGAGAGGTGAACTCAGTCTAGAGAAGAGGCGGAGGGATGGCCTAAGAGCAGACTGCAGATTTTTGAAGGGCAGTTACAAAGACAACAGAGGACTCCGATCCACGGGCTCTCACCAGGGACTTCTGCTATGTCTCTGTGCCAGAAATGACCATTTCCATAGCAGAGATGTTAGCAGTAATTCCACTGCACAGGAGTGACTGCAACAGAAAACAGGAGCAGGTTGACACAGTCAACCTGCCTGGGAACTGTGTGGCCGAGCAATATACATGGATTTGTTCCCCCTGATTACACTACAGATCTGCTAGCTTCTGGGCAGTAAAGGAAGTGCAGTGCCCTAGTTTATGAGTTACCTGGAGTACACACAGAGTCGTGGAGGTCAGCAGAGACACAACACATAGGCAGAGTAGGAAACACTTTAAACTGAAGCATTGTTTTTCTTCCAAAATTAACATTTTTTATCTCATTATCTGAAAGATAAATAGTTCCAAAAAGACATATGGTATTTGTATAAGTATTTTATTTCTTAGGTTTTTTTTTAATTTATTGGTATGAACTTCACACTGCTTTCTGTGATTAGAGTGCCAACCCATAGATTTTGCTTCTTCATTACTATGTTCTTTTAGAAGTAAACTATCAAGTTTGGGAAATTTGACAATTTATATAAGACGAAATTTGTCCTGCAAGTAACTATATGAAAAAATGGTGCTTAGTTTCATCCTAAAGTAGATGTGGTAAATTACTTTCGTGGGATGCCTTTTTATGCAGTATTCGAGAAGCAGTTTTTAGAGCTGAGGAATGCTGTGCATGGATGACACTGAAGGTGTAGGTAACTGAAGTTAGATTACATGAGTTCAAGCTTCACTCATAAAAAGATTTACAATATATTTTTGTGTAATTTTACATGTCCAGAACATGATGACTGTAAATTCTACAGTACTCTGTATTATTCAGGAGGTGCTGGTTATGATTTAAAATGTATCATAAGAGGAGAACCCTGTGTTACAGGTTGCATGTGAAAAGCTGTGCCTCCTTGGTGGTTATATGTTAGTTTGTTGAGAGGTTAGAACAGAGATCGAACCTGCAAGTCAGCCTTGGCTTTGGCAGTGGATTTGAGGAAAGCGTGAGACAAAAATTAGATCAGTGTTGAAACTTTCATCCTAGTTCTATCTACCAGAAGAAGGAAATTAAATTTTTGCAGTGTTGTGCTTTAGTGTATTATGCTCATTCCTTTGAGGAAAGAAATGAAAACTTGCATTCCTATCATGCTGTATTGTACAGCTATAAACATGACTGAAATATCTGTAATGTGGTATGAAGGTGACATGCAATACAAAAACGTGAGATAAGAAACAACAAATCTTATGCAGTACACAATGTGCATGAACATTCAGTAGGTAGCATACTACATTGAATGATCTCATATATTTTCAATATATTCAGATATGCAGAAAAAACTTCATTTTGGTTTGATGTGTGCATTGCAACAGTTTATTACTACCATCCTTTGTATTAGAAAATGTACCTTGCTAATTGGCTTCATAATGCATGAATGTATTTCATACATTTCTTGGATGTATAACTGGATTATATATTTTAATTGATAAACGTTACTAAATACTTTATTTTAGTCCTAAAGATTAATTACTCAGGAATTCACATTTGGTAATGGGCTAATAGAGTGTTCAAAATTCCCTGCAATCTCTGTGACCAATTACAACTAATTAACACCATCCTAATTTCAGATTCAGAGTGTTCAATATTCAGAGTAAATTGATAGTGATTTAGCCAGTCACCTAAAGGCCAGACTAAATCAAACCTAATGAAACCTCACCAAATATATGAAACCCAGAATTATCCACAAAACAATCTCAGTGAAAATATAGAAAACAAACACTCTTAGCAGATGAGCTTACCAAATTACCATGACTGCTTTCATAAATAAAAAAAAAAGAACAGGCTTTTTGTTGTGGATAATTTGTTTGGTTCAGCCATCATGAGGCTTTTTAGACACTTGAAGCAAAGCAGATCTCTGTGGAGGTAACGAATGTCAATGACAGGAATGGGGAGCTAAGGAGATGGAGACATGAAGCTCCTATATACTCAGATGCTTTCTTTAATATTTTTCTTTAATTTTTTTTTTAAGGTAATGGCAAAACATCTGGCCAGATTCTTGAGGGTTCTCCCACTCTAGCTTCTGAATAACACAGCCTGAAGGCACCATTTCTCTGCCTGAACTCATGGTCATTTCTGTTACTGCCTTGTAGTCACAGAAAGTTTTGGCTGGCCCTGGGTAGTACACATAGAATACATCTATTATTATTCTCCAGCAAAGGAAAACAAATGAAAATTAGGAACAATTTGTCACATGAGATTCTATATTTTGCAGCAAAAAGATGCACAAATGTAAAGAATGACTCTGAACAACTTGTGCTGTATTAATGACATGCATATTATTTTCCCTAGTCTCCTTCACAGTAAAACTGTAAGGTGTAAAACCTACTGGGTCCAGAGCCTTTTGTCATTAAGAGATATCCTCTCACTGTTATCATCCTGTTGGGTTCATGTTTGCCAGAA